CACTGTAGAATGCTTAGCTTCCTAAATATATCTTCTGTGTGGGAAGCTGGGATAGGAAAATTAAATTCTTGCATGTTTAAAGTGGACGGGCCAGTAGTATTTGCAGAGGCCAAGTAGAAAACGGAAACGCTTAAGCCGGCTTTGCCCCTTGCGGAGGGATGCTTGGCCCGGCCCTCTCCCATGGGGCCCTTTCCAAAGGCCGGAATCCACCCAGGAGGAGCTTGCTGTGAACTGATGGCCGAGATGCCTGGTGTGGCTCAAGGCGGCATTCTTGGAATAGGACCCTGCGGTTTCTCTCTTACTTCATCTTGTTAAATCGGTCCCGGTGATTGGGCTGGGTACCAGAGATAGTAGCAGTTCCCACAAACTGCCATGAAATTTAAACCCTTCTGGAGCTCCATCGTCCTCCCACGCTGCCATGGGGAGAGGCGGAGATGGGAGAAAGAGGGTGAAGAGGCAGTGCCACCCCCCGGGGCCTGGTCTCATCTAAGCCCCAATCAGTGTCTTGAATATGTATGTTTTGGATTCCTCTTGTTCGGTAGGCAGCATTTCATTTTTTAAACCAGAGTATGGAATAAATGTATCCAAAGTGTGGGAAATAATTTTTTTTTTAAAAAAGTAGCATAGTAATGGAGAATATTCATTCACAAGGCAAATTTCTCCTCCTGCTGTGAAAAGAAATGATCACATCAATAGTTTCTTTATTGCTTGTCCGTAGTCGGCATGGGATTTTAACTACGATAATATAAGAAATATAGTCCAAGTCAAGCAATGAGAATGGAAAAGGTGTTACTTTTATTAAAATTAAAGTTAATGAATGTTTGTCACCTGGTCACTGTGGGCATTCTTTTGTTATTCTTTTTTTTTTTTTTTTTGTACTGGGGATTGAACTCAGGCCCTTGTGCGTGCAAGGCAAGCACCCTACCAACTGAGCTATATCCCCAACCCCTATTCTTTAGTTTTTAACTTAACACAAACGTATGCACAGCTCATCAGCTCACAAATGCCAGTTGCTTTAGATGCCACGTTGCTTAAATCAACTGGTAGCTCCATTTTTAAACTGGAGACACAATTCTCATGCTTTTGGGCATCTATTTTCTCAGGCAGAAACTTTATTTCAATGAACACTGTTGGTCATACATTGTTGCTTAACCTGAGCCAATATAAGAAGGTAAGAGAGAATCACTGTGGTCTTGGACCTAACGAAACTACACACATGCACACCTTATGTCATAAGGCAATGAGAATATGCTGTTACACAGAATAACGCTTCCATTATTCTGTTTCTACTTTTTATATTATGTATAAAACCTAAATATCTCAGTATTTTTTTTTTCATCAGAATTCCTGTTGGGGTGAGAACATCATGTTTCTGTTTTGTTTATAATACTGGGATTGAATCCAGGGGCATTTTACCACTGAGCCCCTGGCATTTTGTCCAGCCCTTTTTATTTTTTATTTTGAGACAGGAGCTCACTCAATTGCCCAGGCTGGCCTTGAACTTGCACTCTTCCTGTCTCAGTGTCCCCCCTACCCTCAGTTGCTGGGATTACATGGGTGGGCCCTCTTGCCCAGCAGCATCCTATGTGTTGAAACATATTCTCTGTTGAGTTTTCTGGGCTAGGATGAATGTCTAACAATGTTACTCATCGTCTAAAACATTAGATTCTGCTGGTCAGAGGACATTTTGATTTGCCATCAACATTCCTGATTAGCAGTGAATGGATTGGGATTATAAATATAAAGGGGTGAGGAATTTGAAGTTTCCTGGAGAGAAATTTGGGAAAGAGAAAAAGTCTGGGTACAGATGCAGTGAATTTCAAATAGCAATGCTTCAAAGGTGAGTCAGGGGCAGCAGAAATATCTGATGAGAATTTTTTTTTTTTTGCATTTAAAAAAAAATTGTGGTACCCCCCCATTTACTAAAATTTATCATTTTAGTAACTTTTTTGGTGATTGTGATTATCATAATTTCTTTTTTTTATTTGTTCTTTTTAGATATACATGATACTAGAGTGTATTTTGACATATTATATATCCATGGAGTATAACTTATTCTAATTAGGATCCCATTCTTGTGGTTGGACAGTTCAGTAATGTTAAGTATATTTACACTGTTATATAACCAATCTCCAGAACTTTATCTTGTAAAATTGAAACTCTATACACAATAACTTTTCATTCCCCTCCCCTGCAGTCTCTGGAAACTAGTAAGATAATTTTACAATATTATGGTGGGTGTTGCAATATAATTTCTTTCCTTGCTCAAAAAAAAAAAAAAGGAAATCTACATTGCTCTTGAATGTTTTCTTGAAAATTAGGAAACCCTAAAGTGGTGGTGAGTTATAGTAGGGTCTGGAGGTCTGGGCGAAGACAGCTTGCAGGGGTTAGAGGCTGAAATGATAACTGCCGTCTTTTTGCTCTTGGAAATGCACATTAAATTATAGCTTGCTCTTTTTAATTGCCACTTTATTGTGGTAAATCTTGAAAATATTATTATGTATAGGTTGCATGCTTATTTCTGCTAAGAGTGCATGAGGATACTGAAAATATCCTGAAATACTTACTACTTATTTTCATGTACCCTTAGCGGCATGATTACACTACTTATATATAATAATATCTTCAGATTCCCTACAATAAAAGTGGCAATAAAAAAATGAACAAGCTAAACTTCCCACTTAAATAAAAGCATTGCAAAGTAGTAAGCAAAGGGTGAGGGGGCTAGTTTTCAATTTTCCTTTTTCATTTGTGCAGTGAAGGACATTTCTGCCTTTACATGTCTGCTCTCTTCTATATTTTCTTAAGCATGCAGATTCTTTACACAGAGTTCTCGAATCTTTTGGCTATTACATAGGTTCCTATGCTGCATTTGTGGATTGGATACTTGTGGGAGGCAATTATGTACTAAACTCATTTGAACTGAGTGTGGCCTATGTGATAGTCATCAGGACAGGATAGGATGTGTAGTTTTATGTCTGCCAGTAAGCAAATCCTTTAACAGGGCACAGATGATTTAACAGCTTGGCTAGTGAGCCCAGGGTACATTGCTTTCATTCCCCTGCCTGTTATACCTGGTAATTTGCCAGTGTAACAGGTGAAAATTGATGAGTGGGTAGCGATTTCTGGGACACAGACTGGAGGAGCCAGGAGTTCTAAATTCCTTTGGCAACAGCTTCATCTCATGGTGTGAATTATATTGTAGTACTACTATGCACTACTTTTCAATTTATTTCTATATAGAAAGGGAGAATGGTTCCAACAGGCTGAGTTTATGCTACCGGCATGCACATGGGGCAGCAGGGAAAGATGGTACACAGAAGATTGTTATTATAAACATATATATTTTAACATTTTTTTCAGTTGTACCTTTATTTTGTTTATTTGTTTTTATGTGATGCTGAAGATTGAACCCAGTGACACAAGTGCAAGGCAACCACTGAGCTACAACCCCAGCCCCGTGTTATTTTATGTGTGTGTGTGTGTGTGTGTGTGGGTGTGTGATTTTTGATGGTGGGGAGGTACTGGGAATTGAACTCAGGGGCATTCACTCACTGAGCCACATCCCCAGTCCTATTTTGTATTTTATTTAGAGACTGGGTCTCACTGAGTTGCTTAATACCTCAGCACTGCTGAGGCTGGCTTTGAACTTGAGATCCTCCTGTCTCAGCTTCCCAAGCCGCTGGGATTACAGGCATGTGCCACCATATATTTTTATGTCTCAGGCAAGACAGATTTCACATGAAAGTAAAATTGATCCAACTCTTTTTCTCTTTTTAAATTTAATTTGTGATTGACATGTGTTAATTTTTCCTATTAACGGGGGGTTCAGTATGATAATTCAACATGTGCATAGTTATTTAGAATCTTATTTCCTTTAGAACATTTTTACTCAGAGACCTCATGGTAAATAGGGAGGGTCATTTTTTTTAAATCAATCAGATGATAAATTTTATTGAATTTGTGTTTCATCCTTTGAAATATGTGTCCTTGAAGAATGTGAGAGAAGCAAACAGTAAGAAATTCGATAGTTCTCAATTTACTAATATAAAATCAGAACAGGACCTCATCAGGTACATGGCTTACACATATAGACTATTGTAAACAATTCATTAGACTGAAGAGCCTATTTAACAATGAACTCATATTTTTCAGATTGTATATACTTTTTTCTATAAATAATTGTAAAGGGTGATTTCAAAAAAACTCTTTAAAAGACAATTAACTAGTATTCTTAAAAGAGTGTTTTTTCCGTCACATGCAGATAACATAGACATTAGAATAATAAACTTAGGAAAGTTAGTTCTTTAAAAATAATTTCTAGAAGTAAGGGTTTTACCATGGTATGTTCAGAAAGGGTTGCCATGCTGGCCTCTCTGACATGAATGGGAAAAAAAAGGAGAAATGATATGTACGCTCTTGTGTTCATGTTATCAGCAGGGTTTTATTTGAGGTCTGGTCTTTCATGCGGAATTGTTAATGCTTGCAAGTGTTATTTCCAGCTCACCATCATTTCTTCAGGTTGGATGAGTTTCTCAGGGATGAGCCATTTTTGTAAGACTACTACATTTTGCAGGATGAAATTATGCCTGTGGGCTACCAGAACAGACAGTGAGGGGTAATTGAAACAGACAACTGAAGTATTCCCCCACACAACTGCCCTTTTCTAAAGCTGTTTAAGATTTCTGGAAGAGAGCTGCAAAATCATTAGGAGACATTTTTCCAACAACACATGGCAAGTGATTGAAACGTAATGGGTTTCAGGGCTCTAGTTCAGGCCCGAGATGCCCATGAATGTCATTGGAAGATGCACGTGGTGACTATCAGTCCACCTTTCTATTTTCAGTCAAATAGAACTCACCAGACTTTGTTTAATGTTGATTTACAATGCTGCTTCATGCAAAAAATCTCCCTCTAAAGAACAGGAGCAGAACTAATTGTTGGTAATGTATTCTGATGCAAAGAAATGGACTGATTGTCTCTTCTTGTTGTTTGCAAAGCCTCTGCCACCTTGTCATGACTCCGTGGAATCCATGCAGGTGTTCAAACAGCACTGCCAAATAGCAGAAGAATACCATGAGGTCAAAAAAGAAATTGCTCTGCTTGAGGAAAGAAAGTAAGTACTAACCACGCCCCACAAATACTCACTCTCCTCCAAGCACCTTCTATTTTGCAAAGGCTGGAGGTGGGTGAGAGGGGAGCAGGTTGTGGGAATAATCTAGATAAATGGTCCTGCTGTAGCTTGAGTGCTTTACTTCATGGGGTAGCAAAAAGAACAGAGGGGTGCTTTTACTCAAAACTTATTATACTTTTTTAATAAAAGATTTTGGTTCAGGAAATTAAATTGACAAATTACTACCTAGAGTCATACCCTGTAAATGTGCCTGAGGCCTTAGAGCGCTTTGGCTTGGAGTGGATTTTAATTAATTTTTAAATGGTAGAGTGTCTACATTAAATGGAGAAGCCACTGGGATAAGTTTTTGGAATAATGGAATAATGCAGATGTATTAGTTGTCCAGCTATTTTATAGTCTGAATAAATTTTTGTCTTGATGGCTCTTAATACAATTACAGTTCTGCTATAGGGGATTATTCAGTTCTATTAAATAGAGTATTCTAATTTTACTCACCCCTAACTTTTTGTTTCAGAATCCCCCTTTTTAACTGCACTCAATTCTGCTGACATCTACCCAAGTGACTCCTCATTTTCTTATTTCAAAGCAACAGCTTTAGACTCTTTGACTTTATACTATTGAACAGTTAGTACTTACACATTTATTAGGAATATTTTAGTCACTACTAAGTGGTGAGTGCCATAAAATCATGGAAAGTTAGATGTTGACCATCTTCAAATTCTGGAAGCCTGGGCAATTATGTGACACCCAATGGCTAAGAAAACCCTTGTCCAATGCATGAAACAGAATTCAAACATAGTGTAATTCTTAACTTTTATTTCTTCTTTTCCATCTTACTTACTGGAGTGACACATGATATATATTTATTACTACATTTTAAATGAGAGGAAGTGAAATGCATTTTGTTTATAGAAACTTAAATTCTTAGTACTCTTTTAAGAATCCCCAGAATAGTGGTTAGACAACATGACTTGGTGGTAAAGAATGGATTATGGATTTGGGGAGCAGATTTCTGTACTTACTCTAAGACCTCATTTAGCTCTTTCTTACTTCCTTGCTCTTCCATGCTTCAAATCTAATATTCTACCTGGACTTTGGTTATATGGGATAAAAAGATGTTATTAAGAAATCAGAACAGGGTACATGTCTGTAATTCCAGCTACTCAGGAACCTGGGCAATTTAGTAAGACCCTGCCTCAAAATAAAAATTTAAAAAGGAGTTAAGGTATAGATCAGTGGTAGAGCACTTGCTTATCATGGGTCCAATCCCCAATACTTACATAAATAAATTAATAAATAAAATCAGAAATACAACATTTTCTTCATAAATCTGAGGGTTCCTTTTGGTCTATGAGTTTTGATAAGTTGCCTGGAATACTCAGGTTGCACATTTATATAGTCTGCTTCTTAAAAACAATTTTATAAAAAAATTAAAGATTATTAGTCATGTAACAAATGTTGCATTCAAAGGAAGACTGCCATAATCAGTAGAATGTGTATGTGTGTGTGTGTGGGGGGGGAGTGTGTGGTGTTTGTGTATGTGAACTGTAGTGGTATGATAGAAAAAACCCCAGATAATTTTGTCTTTCTTTATAAATGCTTTAGTTCGAATTTATTGGAGTACTTTGTTACTTAAATTAAACCCATGTATGGCATTTTGGGAGCAACACAAGAATCATCCACTAAATTATATGTTCTGCAAGTTTATATTTTTATATATTTATATTTTAAAAAATGATAGAATAATGACATGAGAGTTAGTCATATATGGTCTTTGAAATATAGCCTTACTGCTTGTGTTGGGAAACAGGATAACTTGTGGGTACCACTGCAATATTAAAATAAGAAAAGGCATAGTCAACTTCTAGAAAGAAGATGGCTAGCAGACTAGCAGAAATACTTTATACAACCCTCCAGAAACATAAAGAAGTAGGGTAGCCCCTTATTTAGATAATCATATGCCCGTGTATGCTTCTGCAGAACTCATCTTAAATCCTCCCCAAACCTCTTATCTGAATGCTTTCCCTAAACAATGGATGTATCACTAGTTTTCTTCTTCCTCCTCTTCTTCCTTCTCCTCCTCCTTTCTCTTCTTAGTTTTCTTTCTTTGACATAAAGCTTCTCAAATTTCTTTTTCTGCATTCCCAATTCTACCATCTTGGTTGATGCAATAACTGGTGTTCCTGCCTATGGTTTCTTGTTGCTAGAAAGTGACAGCCAGTTTGGGGCCTGGATTTCAAGAGCCACCATAGTCTGCCTACATAGAATGTCTACATCCCTCGCTTCAGTGGCATTGGCCTATTCACTTTTCCCAGGTAGGAGGAGGATCCTCCTGCATGTGAGGCCTGTTCACACCATGTTCTTGGCCCCTTTCCTCCTCTGTGGCTGCCCAAATGCTGCCCAGCGTGGCTGAGAGTTCAGCCCATATCCCTGCCCAGCCAGCACAGAATGATCAGTACTTTTCTGGAGCAAAAGAAGAGTCACTAGAATGATTCTTTGGTACTTTTTATGAATCAGTATTATCCATGGCTGTCTGTTTATTTCCTATCTTTCTGACTGTGTATAATTCCTGCAGACATAGATACCCTTTAGCATCTCTTTGTATCCTGGTCATCTGTCATAGACCTGTGTGTGCCTAGGGTCAAATATGAGTAAGGTTGATTTGGAGTAGCCAATTATAGATTATAGTAAAATCCTTTGTGTGCACATACTTTATTTTTAGTTTGTGTAGTCTATATTTAAAATACAGTCAATATCAGCAATAAAGTGTTGCTAAGATAAATTGTTAAATAGGGAAGTCTGGTTATATTTATAAACAAATGAGCCTCATCCTCCAAGAATTATTAGCAGTTGTTGTTTTCAGTTAACACTGTACTGAAGCAGAAATTCATTTTACAGCAAATCTTATCCTCAAGTCTTTGTTTTCAAACAAAGTGAAATGGGCCAGATGGATTTGACCCAAGTAATTAGCTCTTCAGTTTTTTTTTTCTTTTTTGATGATTGATAAGAATTTCTTCCTCATCATTTCATAAAGTGTGGCTGATTATGTTGCCTCCGGTGGTTGGTTAGACCAAAGAAAGATGCTAACTAAAGTAGTTTAAAAGAGAGTTTTTCTTCGTTGGAGTTATTCATACACAGCTTGCAGTTTAAATTTCAGACTGAACTTCTCTCTCATCTCCAGAGGAGGTCTCCCTGGATCAAGTTTGGGATAATTTGCAGCAGTGGATAAGAAAAGTTGCTATAACTATTATTTTTAATCATGTTATTGCATGGATAAAGAAGTCAAACACTTTTAGTATCATACACTTACCCTAGATTAATCCAGTTTAAAGAATCATTCCTTATGAATAGTGAGGCAAGAGAAGCTCATTTCTACTTTTATCAAACTTTTTTTTCTTTTTACTATAAAAAAAACCCCCACAAAAATGAGAACTTTATTAAAATTAAAACATTACCAAGAATTCTGATGTCTTTAAAGAACTCCTGCTATCATTTTTAACCTACTTCTTTCTAGGCCTTTTTGCATGTGAATATATATCTCCACATAATCACACATAAAATAGTATGCTTTTTTAAGTACATACAATAAGCATTTTACACAACACATATAGCTTTTTGTGTATGTAATGGAAGCTAATTGAAGTGATATAAAATACTTGATGGCTTTTAGCTTGTCCAAAGGAGAAACCACCTGTCTGATCTATGTATTTGGTGTTTAGAAGATTGACTTAGAATAACAGATAAAGAGAGTGACTCTTAGAAAAGTGATTGGCTTCTTTCACTCGTACAGTGTTTTCCAGGTTCACCCATGTTGTGTCATGCATCAATACTTCATTCCATTTTACTGTCGAACAATATTTCATTGCATAGATGTACATTTTATTTATCCTTTCATCATTTTCTAGACATTTGGATCATTTGTATTTTTTGGCTATTATGAATCACGCTGTTATAAACATTCATATACAAGAGCATATGTTTTCAATTCCCTCCTGTGCTAGAAGTAGAAATGTTGGGCCATATGATAACTCCACATGTAACCCTTTTGAAAAACTGCCTTGCTGTTTCCAGGGGGTTGCTCCATCCTCTGTTCTCACCAGCAGGGTATAAGGGTTCCAATTTCACATCTTTTCCAGGACTCATTGGGCCTTTTTGACATAGCCATCTAGTGAGTGTGAAATGGTGTCCCATTGTGGTTTTGATTCACATTTTCCCGACGGCTCTTTGTGTGCTTGTTGGCCATTTCTATGCTTTCCTGGGGAAGTGTCTGCTCAGAGCCTTTGCCCCCTTTTAAGTGGTTAAGTGATCATTTCATTATTGAGCTTAAAGATGGTTATGTAATCTCAGTGAGTTCAGGCAAAACATTAGAAGGTGGTTTTATATGTGGTTCCCACAATCATTGAGAGATTTATATCCTCATGTCTTTAAAAAATATGTAACATAATAACTGAGGAAGCAAGGCCTCATCTAGGGGAACAATGTCCATATGTATTTCATAAGAGCATAGACTAAAATTAGCCCTAAAATTGTTTTTAGTTATGGTCTTTGATTTTTTTTCTGAAATTGTCAACAGGAGATTTTAATGTTCAAATAGAACCATTTTATTTCTTTAGGATGTTCCAGAGACAAGAGATTTTTAAGCTGTGTTCTGGGGAAGAGTGTCAGCTATTAGGAAGGGAGAGGGTGTCAGAAAGGGTATGATATTAGGGTCAACCAGAAGAGTTCCAGTTTTATCTGTTTTATTTTGGAAGATTATTTGTTTGGAAAAAAGACTGCACAGTCTGAAAACACTGAGAACCAAACTTTGCTTTTATAGTCCAAACATATTTCTCTTAGATATTTACTTGGCCTCCAGAAATTAGGTTTTCACTGTCGTAAAGAAAGAGTAAGTGGAGCTATTTCTCCACAGGCATTTGCAGGATATATAGAAATGTGGGGTCAAGTGTGTCCTCTCTTTCCTTTGCTGTCTGATGTGGGCATCT